TGATCCACCGGATTGCTAAGTTTATTAGTCTTTTTTATTCAATGCAAAATCTCTGCTGATGATTTGTCTCTGTTGAGGATTTAAATTTTGTTAAACAATTAGAAGCAAAAAATAAGTGTGCGCAAAATGAAGAGCAACGCCAATATTTTTTACAAATTGTTGAACAACACAGAAAGCAAAATCCATCTTATTAGAAATCAAAACTAATTAATACTTTATAGTATTTTTTATGTTATTAGTATTTTCTTTATAAATAAATATTCTTAAGAACAAACTCAAGACTAAAAACAGCCGGATTGAATTTAATTACATTTTCATTAAGGATTTTAAGCAATAAAAGGTTTTGTAGCTTTATCTTTTTAATATGATTACCTCTAGACATTATCTCAAGACATTAAATAATTTTTTTTTAATTTGGTCAAACGTTAATCTGAAGATTCTCAAGATGGCCATGTCTAAATGACACTTTTAAATTTTGAAAAACTTGCAGATAAGATTTTTTATTATTTACCCAGTTATGAAAGTAATCATTTTTAGAAAACTTATTAGGAATAAAACACCCTAATGTTACACATGCAAAATAAATGTAACACATAATATCATAACAAAAAATTAAAAAAATAATACTTTGTATAAAAAAATAGAACAAACCTTTTACTGATTTCACACCAGGATTGCTCTGTACTCGTATTTTTCTCTATATTAAAATCATCAATCATATTCATTTTTAAAAGACTTTCTTCCAGCGATTTTTTTTTTCGAGGAACTTGTGGTGAACTATTTTGAGTAGGCTTGTCACACACTACGCGATAACTTTGATCACTTTCTGTATTTGATTCTAATGGTAATTGAACATCTTCTGCTTCAATCCATGAGTTATAATACCTAGAAAAGCAATAAGTATCAGTAGGACATTTAATTTTTCCCAGTTGCCCAGATCTCACCATGTTGTTAAACATGGTGAGATCTCATATAAGTGAGCCAGCCCAGTTAACTTGCCTCATATAAGCACCTAACAAGACACAAAAATTTTTATTTTAAATATAATGGAACAACAGAAAATGTATTCATTTGATACTCTTGTGTGGATTTCTTTAGATACAAGGTTATTATTCTGAAAAGTTATTGTTAATATATTTAATTCTGCAGAAAATAGGATTGCTCTGAAATGCTTATCAAAAAGAGCAGTTCAAAATTCCCAAATAATTAAACCACAGATGTTCCAAAATCATAATTTACAACATATTCTAGAAAAACTAAACTTGGATATTCAATTTATTATGACTTTGGTTTAAAATTTGCTAACTCAATATATAGTTCATCATCTCGTGCTGGCTTGAAAGTATGTCTATGCTGGCTTGAGAGCATGTGTGTAGGACTATCAACAACAGAGTCAGGAAAATTGAGATCTCTGGAAAGCTCAGACTATTGGTACTCCAAACTGAAACTGGATTTAATATGGCTTTTATGAAAAATTGTATGAATGTAATAAAACCCAGAGTTACCTTACTAAAATAGGGTGTTAAACGTTTAATACAGTACCTTGTAGCTCTGCTGGAACTGAATTGTGTGATAGGACTTGTTTCATTACTAGAAAATCCATTTTTAGAACTATGACCTAGTTTTGATGTAGAAATCAAAAATTATTTTTCAGAGAAGTTACTAATATAGAGGTTGGGATGGCAGCAAGTTAAATGCATTAGAGCTATTGAGAAGGCCAGCATGCCAAACCTTATCAAAGGTTTGGAAATATTTAGAGCGATAGCCCTAACCTCTTCACATTTATCTAATGCAAAACCTATTATTTTTTGATATTATTATTTATATAATATTGGTTATTATTGTTAACAAGTTAACAGTAGAACAGAAAGATTGAAACCATATTAATGATCAGAAAGTTATTAGATTCAAGATGAGAGATTAAGTTTTTGTTAATTCAAAAACCTTGCTTATGATAGTAAGAAGACTAATTAGAAAGTAGTTAGATAAGTCAGATTGCTCTTCAGAGTTTTTGAAATTAGGGATAACAGATGCCCCTTTTCATCGGGCTGGAAAACAAGACTCTGATAAGCACTTGTTAAATAGTTTTGATTTAACAGATTTGGCCTTATTAAAGACACTGTTAAAGATTCTCCTAAATTCATGTTTAATTTTTGAGATAAAATACGAGATTATGTGAGCGGGCTTTGGCATTAGACAAAACTTTTCTACAATGGCTTTTAGAAATAGTAAACAGATGTCTGTTTTCTGGAGAATTATTTTAGCAATAGATATGAAAGTAATGGTTACAATTGACAATTGACTTAACGCCTGCAGAGTCACTGACACTAGAGCCAAGCCATTCACTATAATGAGTAATAAAGTCACCAACAAGGACCCTGTCCATTTGTCAAGTATCAAATAAATGATAAGTTTAAACTAACTTAGTCTAGAGAAATTTACAGATCAAGCTGAGTTTAAAGAGGTAACCAACTATAGATTATTTTAAGTGTCAACATCT